TGTTACCCAGGCTGGAGTGCAATGGCACGATCTCGGCTCACCGCAACCTCCGCCTCCTGGGTTCAGGCAATTCTCCTGCCTCAGCCTCCTGAGTAGCTGGGATTATAGGCACGCACCACCATGCCCAGCTAATTTTTTGTATTTTTAGTAGAGACGGGGTTTCACCATGTTGACCAGGATGGTCTCGATCTCTTGACCTTGTGATCCACCCGCCTCGGCCTCCCAAAGTGCTGGGATTATAGGCTTGAGCCACCGCGCCCGGCCTCAAAAACAGCATTTTTAAGCAACGTTTTGCCTTGGGTTTTCTAGGTTATCAAGAAGTGGGTATTTTGATCATATGCATATAAGAAAAAACAAATCTATTACTCTGTTTCCCTCGGGGCCTGTATCGACATGCAGAGGCAGCCCAAAGGGTTCTTCCTACCTGTTATAGAAGACGTAACTTTCCTCTGAGGTCAGAATAACTCTGAAAACAGAGATAACCCAAACAGAACTGGGGGGCTTGATGCCATTTCTTAGCAATTTTAGCAGGAGCAACTTAGCAATTAATAGTTTAACCCCACTTACTGTAGGTATTATGATAAGACAAAAATTTTTTTTGAGATGGAGTCACGCTCTGTCTCCCAGGATAGAGTCCAGTGGCGCAATCTCGGCTCACTGCAACCTCTGCCTCCCAGGTTCAAGCAATTCTCCTACCTCAGCCTCCCGAGTACCTGGGATTACAGGCATGCGACATCACACCCATCTAATTTTTGTATTTTTAGTAGAGATGGGATTTTGCCATGTTGGCCAGGCTAGTCTCAAACTCCTGACCGCAGGTGGCCCGCCCGCCTCTGCTTCCCACAGTGCTGGGAGTACAGGAATAAGCCACCACACACCCAGCCAACAAAATTTTTTAAACTATTTATTTATTTTAGAGACAATCTCACTATGTTGCCTAGGCTGGAGTGCAATAGCTAATTCACAGGATCAATCATAGTGCACATCACCCTCACACTCCTGGGCTCAAGCCTCCCACTTCAGCCTCTCAAGGAGCTGGGACTTACAGATACGCACCACCACACTCAGCTTTCAAATTATTTTAAAAGAAAAACAAAACTGAAACCTTAACAACAATAAATCCTCTCCAGCATGTGGCTCGGAAAGGAAATGAAAGCTTGAGATCCCTGCACATTTCTCACCCAGGGGCAGCTGACCGGCTTCAGAGTTGAAGACTAAGGGAGTGAAGTGCCTGCGTGGCCTAGCTCTGGTGTACTGGCTGAGAACACAGCACCCACCTCGTTCTGCTGCCATTGGGCTTGTCCTCCGCCAACTCTCTGGATTCTGGCAGTCTCTTGTGAAGGGGCAAGGAGATGATGTGGTCTTAAACTCTCACCCGTCCCAGCACCATAGCCCAGAATGTCATGGAAACTCAAGCGATAGTGAACTCTGAGATAAGCCCAAGGAAGATGCAAACTATCAGCACCATCAGGCGCTTCAATCGCACCTTGTGGTGACTGCAATGAAGGGGAAACGTAAGCACTGAGGAAGTCTTCTGCCCACCTCGTTTCCTCTCATTTTACAAACTCTTGTGCAACATGCCACTCCTCCCTGTCCCTCACAGTTTCCAAGCCTTGTAAGAGCAAGTGGAGTGCTGGCCCACACGTTACACATCTACTTGACAACCTCTTCATTGCTGGCAAATGACTGAGAAAAGAGGTACAAATAGGTACTAAGGGTCATGCAAAGCGTGCACATAAATGGAGCCTCACGGACACACCCAGGGGAAAAAAGCACCTGGAGCCCTTGCAGAAAACCCTGGAGCTGGACAGAAAAGCGGACTCACCCAAATTTCATCCCTGAGGCTCCTATCTCCAAATGACAAGCTCCTGCTCAACAACTGGCCTTCTGTGCTGCGCATTATTCATCAACAGCTAGGTGGGAAAAAACCTAGTCCCTTTATAACCTGTAACCTCATCCTGGCCTCTAGTCCCGGAGTAAACGGAGCTCCCCAAGACTCAAGCCCTGCGCACTGCACTATCATCACAGGGGCTGAGGACTGACAGGACCCCAACATATACCATACCTCACCCAAAGGAAGGCTCTGTCATAGGGAGTGCACCCCCCACGCGACAAACTCGGAAGGTCAGGATTGAAGAGCAAGCTCAGATGGCGAAACAGGTCCAGAGAGGGGCAGCGAGTGGCCCGAGGTCACACAGCGTGCTCGAAACGGAGCTTTACTAAAACCCCAGCCTCCGGACTCCCGAGTATCCCATTCCCACCCTCCTGCCCTCGTCACGCCCGGCTGAGAAGAACGTAACAGAACTTCTGCCCCAGTGTCCCAGCCTCTGGAGGGCCACCAAGACTTTGGTCTTCGCCCCGTGCGTCCACCGGCCAAACCGCAGACCCTGCCCACCCATGGGCCGGGCCCACCGCCGCCCCCGGCCCAACTCCCCAGCCCAGTTTCCCGCCGCCCGCCGGACCTGCACAGTTGCGCTCCCGAGAGCCGACGGCGGCAGACATTTCCCTATCTGCCTACTCAAGTTCTTCATCCCGCCGCCCGCCCCGCGCACTCCACCCCCAGACGAACCCGCCCCCGTGTGCCCCCTCCACCAATCGAAAGCCTGTCTTCTCCATCGCTCCGCCCCAAAACAGAATAGAGCCCGCCCCCTGAAGCCAGGCCTCCTCCAATCCCCACCACTTCTTCCGAGACGGATACCTGCCTCCGCCAATTGTCGCGCACCCTGGCCAGGTACCTGGAGCCGAGTTACAATCGCGCGGCGTCGGCAGCTTCGGCTCCGGCTCTGCGCACCTGTACCGAGACAGCCACAGGAATTCAGGATCCCGGGTCGCAGAATCGAAGCCTGTGCAGGAGCAAGGAGGGCAGACTGAGCTATGGGCTTGAAGAGCCGGCTCTGCATGATTGTATTATCCCGAGACCCTCCTGGCCTGTTTCTCGTGCGCACAGAAGGGTCTGAGGTTAAAATGCAAGAATAATTGTGAACACAAAAGTACTATTCCAAGGCGGAGACCCCGCCATTCCTGAACCGCACTGTAACTACGTGCCACGGTCTGTGCTTCGTATAAATATTATCTTCCTACTCCTCCTAACATACTTCATGAGGGAGAAAACTATTGTCCTTTTTTTATTTTTATTTTTTTTTTTTTTTTTGAGATGGGGTCTGGCTGTGTTCCCTAGGCTGGAATGCAGTGGCGCAATCTTAGCTCACTGCAACCTCCACCTTACAGGTGGAGCGAGTCTCCTGCCTCAGCCTCCCGAGTAACTGGGATTACAGGCACTTGCCACCACGCCTGGCTAAGCTTTGTATTTTTAGTAGAGTTGGGGGTTTCACCATATTGGTCAGGCTGGTCTCGAACTCCTGACTTCAAGTGATCTGCCAGCCTCAGCCTCCCAAAGTGTTGGGATTTACAGGCACGAGCCACCGCACCCAGCCTATCATCCCAATTTTATATACAAGGCAGCCGAGTTCAGAGAGGTTAAGTCTAAGGCCACAGAGTGACTGGCGGAGTGTAGGATTCAAACAGACGCCAGAGGGTTGGAGATTTCACTACCCATAAACTCCACCAGCAATTGGCAGCCCACTCCAGAGAAACGCACGCTCTAAGCAAAGCAGTGTGTTTACTATGAAATATATCAAGACAGGCCGGGCGCGGTGGCTCACGCCTGTAATCCCAGCAATTCGGGAGGCCGAGGCGGGTGGATCACGAGGTCAAGAGATCAAGACCATCCTGGTCAACACGGTGAAACCCCGTCTCTACTTAAAAAAAAATACAAAAAATCAGCTGGGCATGGTGGTGCGTGCCTGTAATCCCAGCTACTCAGGAGGCTGAGGCAGGAGAATTGCCTGAACCCAGGAGGCGGAGGTTGCGGTGAGCCGAGATCGCGCCATTGCACTCCAGCCTGGGTAACAAGAGCGAAACTCTGTCTCAAAAAAAAAAAAAAAAAAAAAGAAATATATCAAGACAAGTCCTCTATTTCTCCCTTCTCCAGACTGCCACTCTCCTTCCTAGAAATTCTTGAGTCACCTCTGTCTCTGACTCAAACTGTCTGACTCTGGAACAATTGTTCTTAACCCTTCTGCTATCCTGCCTGCTTTGTTTGTGGAACTGCATGAACCTGACCAAACTGAATTGGATGTGCAAGGACATGACACATGAGAAGACATGAGTTCCAGTCCTAACTATGGCACTGTCAGGCACAGCTTTTAAGTTATCTTCACCATTTACATACTACTAACCCATATTTGGCCTTGTCTGATCCTCACAAAACTCTTGGATTATTAGAGAAGGGAAGTTTATATTTCCATTGTATAAGTAAGAAAGCCAAGGTCTGAAAAAATAAAATATGGTAGTGGCTGGGCACAGTGGCTCACACCTATAATCCCAGCACTTTGGGAGGCTGAGGCTGAGGTTCACTATGTTGGTCATAGTGAAACGCTGTCGCTACTAAAAATACAAAAAGGCCAGGCCTGGTGGCTCACGCCTGTAATCCCAACACTTTGGGAGGCTGGGGTGGGTGGATCACAAGGTCAGCAGTTCGAGGCCAGCCTGGGCAATATGGTGAAACCCCATCTCTACTAAAAATACAAAAAATTAGCTGAGTGTGGTGGTATGCGCCTATAATCCCAGCTACTTAAAAGGCTGAGGCTGGAGAATCGCTTGAACCCAGGAGGTGGAGGTGGCAGTGGGTTGAGATCATGCCATTGCATTCCAGCCTGGGTGACACAGTGAGACTCTGTCCCCCCAAAATAAAAATAAATCAAAATATAAAAATTACCTGGGCATGGGGGTGGGTGCCTCCAATCCCACCTACTTGGGAGGCTGAGGCAGGAGAATCATGTGAACCTGGGAGGTGGAGGTTATAATGAGCCAAGATTGTGTCACCACACTCCAATCTGAGTGACAGAGCTAGACTCCGTCTCACCCAGGTGCCTCCCTGAGGAAATCTCCATCATGACAAGCACTCAGGGAAGTTGGTTGGTACAGAGTTTCTCTGCTGGTTACCCCAGGTGTGGTGTGGACCCCAGAAAGATGAGCAGGTAAGGGGACTGCAAGACACACACTCAATGCTAAAAGAAAGAAGTCATCCATGGCCGGGCACAGTGGCTCACTCCTGTAGTCCTAGCACTTTGGGAGACCAAGGCGGGCAGATCACAAGGTAGGAGTTAGAGAGCAGCCTGACAAATATGGTGAAACCCCGTCTCTACTAAAAAAAAAAAAAAATACAAAAATTAGTTGTGTGTGGTAGCACGCGCCTGTAGTCCCAGCTGCTGGGGAGGCTGAGGCAGGAAAATCACTTGAACCCGGGAGGCGGAGGTTGCAGTGAGCTGAGATCACGCCACTGCACTCCAGCCTGGGCAGCAAAGAGAGAGACTCCGTCTCACAAAAAAAAAAAAAAAAGTCATCCTTGACTCCTTCATTCTCATAGCCAGCTACCAATCTCTGTTCATGCATTCAACAAATACTTATTAGGTGCCTGCTGTATGCCAGGCACTGTTCTGATCTCTGCAGATGAAGTTGTGAATGTGACCCAAACTCACTGCCCCCATGGTGCCTTCATCCTCATCTCTTTGACCTCTGTATCTTGCAAGTCCCTCCCTCCTTCCCCATTCTTGTCACCAGGGCTCTCCCAGGCCCCAGACTCACTTTCCATTCCTCAGCCATTGCAAAACATCCCTATCTCCCTGCTCTAGGCTCTCCTTTTCTATACCAGTTGCCTGAGGAACTTTTCCAACTTGCACATCTTGCCTTATCACTCTCCAGCTTAAAATTCCTTAATGGCTCTCTCTAATCTATAGGGCAAAGTCCAAGCTCTTTGCTGGGTAGCTAAGACTCTTCATGAGATGCCCTCTGCTGACCTCTCCTGGCTAAACTGTCCACACCTTCCTCCTACCCCACCAAAGGCCCTGCTCTTCCCTCCAACTGCCATGTCCTTTTCCTCCTTGTTGCCTGCCTGGGGAAAAACTCTTCTTCATCTTTCTAGCCTAAGCTTAAATGTCACCTCCTACATGAAGCCGTTCTGAGCTGTTTATAGAGGAGAGGGTGCCATGAGCTAAGGAAGCACTATAGCAAAACACTCAAGAGCTCAGGCTCTGGAGTAGAACTTTTTTGTTTTTTAAGAGATAGAGTCTCGCCAGGCTCAGTGGCACGTGCCTGTAGTCCCAGCTACTCGGGAGGCTGAGGCTGGAGGATTGCTTGAGTCCAGGAGTTCTGGGCTGTAGTGCGTTATGCTGATCGGGTGTCCACACTAAGTTCGGCATCAATATGGTGACCTCCCGGGAGTGGGGGACCACCAGGTTGCCTAAGGAGGGGTGAACCAGCCCAGGTCGGAAACAGAGCAGGTCAAAACTCCCGTGCTGATCAGTTCTGGGATCGTGCTTGTGAATAGCCACTGCACTCCAGCCTGGGCAACATAGCAAAACCACATCTCCAAAAAAAAAGAAAAGAGAGAGAGAGAGATGGAGTCTCAGCCGGGCACAGTGGCTCATGCCTGTAATCCCAGCACTTTGGGAGGCAGAGGTGGCGGATCACAAGGTCAGGAGATCGAGACCACCCTGACCAACATGGTGAAACCCCATCTCTACTAAAAATACACAAATTAGCTGGGTGTGGTGGCACGTGCCTGTAGTCTCAGCTACTTGGGAGGCTGAGGCAGAAGAATTGCTTGAACCTGGGAGGCAGAGGTTGCAGTGAGCCGAGATCACACCATTGCACTCCAGCTTAGGCAACAAGAGTGAAACTCCATCTCAAAAAAAAAAAAAAAAAGAGATAGAGTCTTGCTCTGTCACCCAGGCTGGCGAACAGTGGCAAGATCTTGGCTCACCACAACCTCCGCCTCCTGGGTTCAAGCGATTCTCTTGCCTCAACTTCCCAAGTAGCGGGGACTACAGCCGTGCACCACCATGCCCAGCTAATTTTGTATTTTTAGTAGAGACAGGATTTCACAATATTTTGGCCAATCTGGTCTTGAACTTCTAACCTCAAGTGGTCCACCTGTCTCGGGCCTCCCAAACTGCTGGGATTACAGGTGTGAACCACCATGCCCAGCCTGGAGTAGAACTATCTAATCCTACCTAATCTTGGCTCTATCATTTACCAGCTAGGTACTCAGGCAAGGCTCTCACCCTCTCTAAGCCTCAGTTTCCTCATTTGTGAAATGGACACATCAATAATATTGGCCTGATAAGATCATGGTAAAGAGTAAATGAGGCCAGCATGGTGACTCATGCCTGTAATCCCAGCACTTTGGAAAGATGAGGTGGGCAGGTCACCTGAGGTCAGGAGTTCAAGACCAGGCTGGCCAATGTGGTGAAACCTTGTCTCTACTAAAAATACAAAAATCGGGCTGGGCATGGTGGTTCACACCTGTAATCCCAGCACTTTGGGAGGCCAAAGCGGGTGAA